TTAGGGCTGTTGTGCATAGGGTCGCTATGAGTTGGAAACGACTCGACGGCACATAACAACAACAACAACAACATCTTTGTGAAGCAATTCCCTTAGTATTTCTTGTAGAGTTGAACTTGTTTTCACAAATTCCTTAAGTTCCTGTATTTCTGCAAATCATCTAATTCCTCCTGCATGTTTGATGGCTAGCTTTGCTGGGTACAGGATCCTAAGTTGGCAATTGTACAAGCCAATCCATTGTCTTCTTTCTTGCTTGATTTCTGCTAAGAAATCAGAATTTAATATAATTGGCTTTCTTTGTTTTTTCCTCACTGCTTTTAGTATTCTATTCTAGTTTATTTTGGATAATTAGACTATGATATTTCTTGATTTTTTTTTTTCCTTTGGAGGCCTAGTCTGTAGTCATTGAGCTTATTGAATTTCAAGTTCCTCATTTTTCCTGCCTGGGAAGATTCCTTGTAGTACTTCCATATTTTTTTTTCCAATGCTCCTTCCCCATGTCCTGTTCTGGAATTCCCATCACATGTATGTTGTTCCGCTTGATGTTATTTCACATGATTCTAATGTTTTCTTTATTTTCTTATTGTCTCCTCTCTGCTTTTTAATTCTAGTACGTTACCATTAAGGTTCTTATTTTCTAGCTCAGTCACTCTCTATTTGATCTCTTCTGTACTGCTTTTTTTTCCCTTAAGAGTTCAGGATTTTTTTTATTGAACATGTTACAAAAGGAGTTTAGTCAAAAAGATCAAATCCCATGTCATCATCAGATTCTTCAGATTCTTCTTTCTTTGTTTCCACTTTATTCTCCTCAGCTGGAGCAGCAGCAGTGGAGCTGTCAGGTCCTCCAGCTGGTACATCCCCACCCAGCCTCTGGGGCAGGTCCACCAGCACCCACATTGCAGATGAGGCTCCCACTGTTGACATTTGCCAGGCCAGAAAGGTTCAATGTTGACACCGACTGCCTTAATGAGGGCATTGATTTTATTATCCGTGATGGTCACCTCATCGTTGTCCAGAATGATGGCCAAGTAGATGCAGGTGAGCTCAAAGACAGAGGCCATGGTGCTGTGGTTCTAGGCTGAAGGCTGCTGGAGGTGGTGCTAGTAGCTCAATGAAGTGAGGGCCTCACCCCAACATGGCCTTAGCTTCCTCTGAAGGACTGAGAATCTTAGTGGCAACTAAGAAAAGAGGATGCACTGCTTTTTTTGTCCCTCCAGCATGTTGAAACATTCTAGCAGTTTGGTTTTGATATTCTGGATTACATTTTCATGCAATTCTGTTATTTCCAGAATGTTATTGCCTTCTTGTGAAAATTATTACAACTTTTATACTTCTTTATTTATTGTTTTAAGTCTCATTCCATCAAATTCTTTAGTAGCTATTCATATAACCCCAGGTAGATATATTTCTACTGGCTCCTTGTCTCTGGGGTATTTGCTTTTTTATGGTTTCAATTCTTCTTTCATTTGTAACTTCTTGAATAACTCTTTATGTAACTTCACATCAATATATTTATTCTGTTTCCTTATCTCTGGGATCTTCATTGAGTCTTCAATTTGATCAGCTTTTCTAGAAGACTTGATTTGCTTTTTCTTGTTTGAGGTTCTTGTTGATTTCTTGACATTATATCAAGTTCTTCTTGGTTTGTGTGAGGCAGTTTCTGTTGTGTCTATGTAGGCTGTTGACAATTCCTCATCTTTATGATGATATTGATAAGTTGAGGACTTAAAGTGTTGCCTACAATTGGGATTCCTAGTGGCGGCCTTCCCTACTGGCCATCTATGAGCAGATCCGTTCCTTGTTTCCTATGGCAAGCTTCTCATCCAGTTGTTCTTTGAGGGAAAGGGAGCTGATGTTTCTGCTCTTTTCCCAGCTTTGGTGGGCTCACTTCTCTCTCTTGTCTTGTAGTTTAATAAAAGTGGGGACGTGATTGAAGAGACCATGACTTGTGTCAGGTGCACCTTAGTCTTTAAACTGACATCATTGCTCATCTTCATTTTGAAGAGGTCCCTGGCACCAGACTTGCCTAGTGAAATATGTCTCCTAATTTCCTCATTGCTGGTACCACAGGTGCTGATTCTTGATCCAAGCAAGATGAAATCACTGAAAGTTTTTATTCTTTCTTCATATTTCATAATGTTGATTATTGGTCTTGTGGTGAAGACCTTTTTTTCCCCTTAATGTTGAGATTTAACCAATAGTGAAGGCTATAGTCCTTGATTTTCTGCAGCAAGCAATTCATACTCTCCTCACTTTCCGCGTGCAAAGTTATATCATCTGCCTAATGCAGATTGTTGATGAGTCTTCTTCTGATGCTGATGCCACATTCTTCTTCGTAGAGTCTGGCTTTGTGAATTATTTGCTCAGAATACTTACTTAATAAGCATATATAAATGATACAACACTGACACACACCTTTCTTGATTTTAAACTATGCAATGTTCCATTGCTCCATTGGACAACATGTTGAATGTGTAGAATTCACATAAGCACAATTAAGTGTTCTGGGATCCCCATTTTCTCAATGTTAGCTATAATTTGTTATGATAATTTGTTATGACATGTTACTAAGTAAAATGCTTTTGCAGAATCAATAAAACACAAATAGACAGTTCTCTGGTATTCTTAGCCTTCAGTCACAATCAATCTGACATCAGTAATGACCTCCCTTGTGCATTAGTCTGTTCTAAACCCAGCCTGAACTTCTGGTAATTTCCTATCAATGTACTTGTTCTAGTCGTTTTTAAATGTTCTTCAATGATATTTTGCTTTCATGAGATATTAATAATATTTTATAATTTCCACATTCTGTTCCACAATCACCTTTCTTTGAAATGGAGACAAACATGGATCTTTTCTAGTCAGTTGGCCAGGTAACTGTGCTCCAAATTTCCTGGCATAGACTGGTGTAAGACTACATTAGTTAGCTGAAACCTGTCAATAGGTATTCCTTCAGTTCTGGGGGCATTATTTTTTGCCAATGCCTTCAGTGCAGCTTGAACTTTATCCTTCACTACCTTTGATTTTTTTTCATGTAAGTACTTCCTGAAATTTTTCTGTGCCAACCAGGACATTTTTGGAGCAGTAATTATATGTATTCCTTCCATCTTTTGATGCTTCCTGGACAAGACGGCACCCATAGCATCTCTCAGTATTGCAACTTGAAGCTTTAATTTGTTTTTCAGTTCTTTCATCTTGAGAAATGTCAAGTGTGGTCTTCCCTTTTTAGGCTCTGCACATTTCATTAGAATATTTTGCTTTATCTTCTTAAGCTTCCCTTTGAAATCTTCTTTTCAGATCTTTTACTTCACATCTCTTCCTTTTGTTTTGGTTTCTCAGCACTCTAATGACATTTTCTTAGTCTCTTCTGACATCATTTTGATTCTTTCTTTCTCTTCCTTCTTTTTAATGAACTTTTGCTCTCCTCATGGATGATATCTTGATGTCCTCCCACTGTTCCTTTGGTCTTTGATCATTGATTTTCAATGTCTCACTTATGTTCTTGAGTTGATTCTTAAATTCAATTTGGATAGACTCAAGGACATATTTTGGTTCCTGGGAACTAGTCTTAATTTTTCAGCTTCAATTTCAACTTATACATGATTAATTGCTGGTTTATTCCACAATAGGCACCTGGTCTGCAGATACTGAGCTTCTCCCATGATTCTTTACGCAAATAAAGTCAGTCTGACTTATGTGCACTTCATCAGGTGAGCCCATGTATAAAGTCGCCATTTGTGATACTTTTCTTAAAAAAATAATCACTGAGTGTACAAAATGCAATCATTTGATCTCTAGCCTCAGTTTTGTACATAAGAAAGTCCATATTTTCCAACTATCAAGCCCATACTTTCCAACTACCCTTCCATCCTCGTTGTTTCAATTTTTTGCATTTCAGTCATAAATTATTATTAATGCATCTTGGTTACATTTTTCAATTTCAGGCTGCCAAAGTTGGCAGAAATTATCAACCTTCTCCATTTTGGGTTTAGTTGTTGATGCATATATTTGAGTAACAGTTGTATTAATAGGTCTGCCTAGTATGCACGTGGATAGTATCCTATTATTCACAGAATTATACTTCAGGATGGATCTTGACATTTCCTTTTTAACTATGAAAACTACATTTTTCTTCCTCGTTTTTCATTCCCAGCATAAATCATGTGAGAGTCTGAGAAAGTGTCCCATGTTTGCCCATCTCAGTTCACAGATGCCCAGAATGTTGATCTTCATGCATTTCCTTCTGTTTTTTTTCACAACTTACTTTTTTTTTCTATATTCATACTTACTTCTTACATTCCATGATCTAATTATTAATAGCTATTTGCAGCTGCTACACATTTTGCTAGCAACTTCCTATCTGGGCTTTATATCTAATTCTAAAACGATCTGTGTTCTTCTGTTCATCATGTTTTCATTGTTTCAGAAGTGGATGACCAATCCTTCTTCCTAGCCTGTCTTAATTTGATAACTGATGTGTAAATAAAAAAAATTAAGATTGTAAATATAGATTAACTATTTAAAATAAGTATAGATAATCATTAATAGACTCTAATGAAATAATAAAGGCAAGAAGTATGGAAAAAATAGCAAAGAATTTATGGAACAAATAAGTGAGGAAAAAAAATACGAAAACATATTTACCCTAACATCTTAAATTTAACCATGCCATGTACTGACCATACTCCATATATTCTACTTCTATACATTTACCTAAGAGAACTGTCAGTCTAAGTACACAAGAAAACCTGTGTATTGATGTTTTTAATACCTTTAGTCATAATAGCAATAAACTAGACAAAAGGTCAACAAACAAGAAATTGAATAAACGAATCATGCTATATACATGCAATTGAATAGTAATCAGCAATAGCAGACTGAATGATTGAGACATATAACATGAATAACATCATACCTAGAAAAACATGGCAGTCAAAAGGGTAAAAACCATTTAATTCCATATATAAAATCTAAAGAAGGTAAAATAATCAATATTAAATGAAAATAGAACATTTTTCTGTAAAGGTTGAGAATTGTTGGTGTTGGTAGATTTAGCGTAATTAAAATGTTCTATATCTCAATAAAAATGTGGTTTATATTGTTGTTGTTGTTTGTTGTTAAGTCCCATCGACTCAAACACTACTCATAGCGACCCTAAGGACAAAAGACCTAAATCCTGTACTATAACTATTGTCGTTTCTCTAAGTTCTTAGTTTCCAGAGGCATGTTGCTCAGAAAGTGGATGCCATTCCTGCTTCCAGCCTTTGGGAGCTCCACCAAACACTGTTCACAATGAGTGACTATTATAGCATTTAACACACCAGAGGCACAGCAATCAGTATCACATCAACCCCAGGATACCTAAGTAGAGCAAATTGAGAGACCAGTACTGTACCACTTAGAAGAATGTTCATTTTAAACACAGTTAAAACCAGGCCTTCAACCAAACACCTGACCTTCAACCACAACAAGAGGAACCCACCTTTCAAAAATCCAAAATCCAATGGCTTCACACATGAGCTTGCCGTTTGCAACTTTCAAAGCTCTTCTAATATTCTTAGGAATACTTGTAGTGAATTTAGTTTACAAATAAGATATTTAGTCACAGAATTTAACAAGTGAGACTGCAAAGTTTTTGTTAATGGGATAAACATAATGTGAAACTAGGACAATTCTAAAACATCTAATGTGATATTGCAATTCTAATGCGAAGGTAATCGAACTGAATTGTGTTGGTCCTTTTCAGAATCAAAGTAAAATTCTTGTCAAATTTTGAAAGAGTACTGTTTTATTCCTGGTATAAGACATAAACTACTACATATAATCTGGAATCAAGACTGGGTTTATGTATTTTAATTTTAGACTTTTTTTATTGAACAACTTAAATGAAGACCTAGAATTCATTAAGAAAGGAGAAAAGAATGACATAATCATTTTGGATATTTGCTTTACACTTTATAAACAACACCAATCATTTGTGACTGTTTCTTTTAATTCCATTAGATTATGGATGAAAAAAAGTAAATACATGCAAAATGAAAGAATAGTAAGATTTCAAGGAGGATACAAGGTCTTTAATAAATTCTTTTTTAAAATAAGCCCCCAAATCAATCATATATG